GTTCTGGAGGGGTCAGTGGTGGAGGCCTTAAAAATAAAAAGCTGGCCGGGCACGTTGGCTCACGCCTGTAATCTCAGCACTTTGGGAGGCCAAGGTGGGTGGTTCACAAGGTCAGGAGATTGAGACCATCCTGCCTAACATGGTGAAAGCCCGTCTCTACCAAAATTAGCTGGGCATGGTGGTGGGTGCCTGTAGTCCCAGCTACTTGGGAGGCTGAGGCAGGAGAATGGCGTGAACCCAGGAGGCAGAGCTTGCAGTGAGCTGAGATTGAGCAAGATTCCGTCTCAAAACAAAACAAAACAAAATAAAAAAAACAAACTATCGGGGGTTGGGACGAGAACATGGAAAGTCACAACCAGATTTTTCAGTAAGAATTTAAAACTGTAAAGTATCTTGCTGTAGTAGGTTGTTATGAAAATTAATCAAGTATGCTTGTATGAAACTGAGTACAAGACTGTATGTCTAGTGTGCATTCGAGAAATGGCTGCTGTTGTTGTTTTTGAGAAAGCCAGGCTAAAATTCTGGGGCAAAAAAAAAGAAGAGCTAAATCAATGCTCTTTGGCTTCTTAACCCTTAACCTCAGAAAGCTTCACTTTTATCATGTATAATGTGAAATTAATGATACCTTGTCAGTTGGTTGAAGTTTCCAAGGCATTCAAGGCTATATTCATTAGCCTTATTTTAGCAAATATTTTAACAGCTGGCCAGATTTGTTGGGCTATGTAATCCAGAGCATGTAGTGAAGAAGAATTGTTTTGTCCATTGGTGAAATAATACGCAACTGCAAGAGGAAAAGACTTTCATGTTGACAATGGATAAAGGTGTCAGCTGGAGGTGGGATGCTGGCTGCTTCTCTTCCTACATAAATGGCAGAGAATGCTGTGAAGAATAGTATTGCTTTTTAATGGGCTCTAGTACTTGCATTGCTGTGCTCTCCACTTGATATTAGGAAGAAAATACCTTCTAAAAGTTGTGCAAAAGCTGTGCAAATGACTGTCAGGACAAACCAGCCCCATGTTTTACTAAGGTGCCTTTCACGTTTGTCGGGCACAGAACAGCAGCAGTGTGGGTAGAGAGCTATCTCATTACAGTTCTGTCTCTCAGACTGCCTACCCAGTCTTACCCTGCCGAACTGCTTACTTCTGATATAACGGGGTATTCCCTCTTCTGCATTAGAACCCGTAGGAGACTATAGGCTCTTTCAAGGGACTTTAAAAAATGCTATGAGTTAAGGATCCTATGAGGCTAATGAACTATTTTCTTTCATATAGGTAATGCTGGAATCTAGATATAAAACAGCTTCATTTCCTAAATGAGTTGGAGGATAAAACTTCAACATGCAACAGATATCTCAGTTTTTCCCTCTAAATAAACTGATCTCATGGCAGATGTATTACCCTACTCCTAGCCTGTGAGAATCTGGACGGTTTTATTGAGGAGACAGAAAGATGTTCTGTACGTGAGCTCTCTTAGTAGATAGTGGTCCTCACTAGTTTGCTATCATCTTGATTTTCTGAAGGTCAAAGTCTCTTAATTGTCTTGCATATGTAGCCTCATCAGCTACAGAAAGAAGACTTAGGCCTCAAATGCCTAAAGCCCTTGGAAAATACAATTTCCAACCTTCTGGAAGTTTCTCTTCTGCCTTTCATTTCACTTGAGAAGAAGCAACTTCCTGAGAAAAAGGCTGGAGCAACTCCTTAGAGGCCGGCAAGAGTGCCAATCCTTCCTCCAGCTCAGGAAGACAAGACTTTGATCAACAGAGTTTCAGAGGCTGAGGCTGCAAAGCACAGCAATCTGTGCCCACAAACTCTCTTGTGCTTCTGAATTCTAGTGTAACAGCGGCATGAAATTCATTAAATGAAGAGGGGGTGGAAATGCTCACGGAGTATTTCAGAGGTCATAGGCGATGGAGGTGGTTGTTCCATAGACATCAGAAACAAAGCAACCGAGCTGAGCCTGTGGAAACCATGGCCTTGTTCTTGGAATGGGAGGCGAGGGTCACACACTGCCACCTGCTTTCAACAGCAACTGTGCACTGGAGTAAAGGAGGTGCATGTGCGTCCAGTTTCACAGCTTGGGTGGCATCAGGTAGGTCTCTCTTGACTAGGTATGACTATATAAAGTGCAGTGTGTCAATTTGATCACATCTCAGCCGATGGAGAAGTTGAAGGCCATACTTCTCTAACTTTTTTTCCAAGACAGTGTTACTTCTGCCTAGTCAAACACCAGGAAAATGGGATTGTGACCAAACAGGAGCCCAATTTTATATTTAGAGATTGTTGACCCAAGCCAGGAAGACTCAGGAACAGTCTTAGATTTGGGGATTTGAAGAATTTAATTATTTTCTTTAGGACATGTGATTCTCTTACTGGTAAGAAAAGAACGCTTGGCATTTTCTCATAAATCTAGAAATTGGTGGGAAGCATTGATCCAAACTGCATTTGTTCTTGATGCAGATATTTCCATGAAAGATGTTTGGACTCATGCAAGCTCAGATGTCGGCCAGGTGCAGTGGCTCATGCCTGTAATCCCAGCACTTTGGGAGGCCGAAGCGGGCGGATCACGAGGTCAGGAGATCAAGACCATCCTGGCTAACATGGTGAAACGCTGTCTCTACTGAAAATACAAAAATTAGCCGGGCATGGTGGCAGATGCCTGTTGTCCCAGCTATTTGGGAGGCTGAGGCAGGAGAATGGCGTGAACCTGGGAAGTGGAGCTTGCAGTGAGCCGAGATTGCGCCACTGCACTCCAGCTTGGGAGACAGAGAGAGACTCTGTTTCAAAAAAACAAACAAACAAAAAAAAAACCACAAACAAAACAGAAAGAAAGCTCAGATATCTCAAGAAAGCCAAAGAAGGCTGTGTGGGGTAGGGAAGGGCTCTGTGTGTGAGTGGACCCACTCTCTCCCTGTCCCCAGGCCCTCTGGCATTTTCCTTTGAGGACAGTGTCCCGCAATGCCTAATTAGATGCTGTCTGCTGACTTCGGTATCCCATTGCTGTGTTCCTAGTTTGTCTTCCAAGGATTGGGTGTACCATGTTGAGACAAAACATTGCAATGTTAAAACACAACACCGTTGTGAAGATCATCTTTGTTTTCAGAATATATTTTAAGAGTTAGTGGAATAGAGAATGGCTTGTTTGTTATCAGTAAAGCTCTTCCTTCACCCAGAAACCACAAGAGCCTGACAGTCAAGTCGTTCCCACAGGTGCGTGTGGTCCCTATCTGGGATGTGTTGGGCTGCCAGCCTCCCTGACAGGCCCTTCGTGGTGGTGTGCTGAGTTACCGTAGCATGCCCCCACGGAATCAGACAACTGTTGCGGACTGCTATGATGACGTCACCTGGAGGTGGCAGACCTGAGCGTGATGTGTGATCCTGCTCTCTGACACCGGAACTTGTCATGTCTGAGCAAACCGACCTTTAGTTCTGTACCAGCTATAGTCAGAAGGCCAGGAATTTCCTCTTGAGCCCCAGGTCAACTTGGATGGCATGAAGTAGAAGTCTAAATGACACCCAGATTTTACTATTGCCCAAAGAACAGCTTTCCAACCTGGCCCTCATCAGCCTGCTCCCCAGGGGAGGAAGCCTGGTCCCAGCAGGTCTTATTCGCTCTTCGCCACCTTCCCTGAATCTGGTATTCCCACGTAGAACGACCTGCTCCTAACTGAGGGGGAGGCTGGCCAGCACTGATTGCATGCTGTGTACTTTAAGCTTGTGATGGAATATTTAAGGGCCAGACACGCCTTCCTCAGATAGAGCGCCATGGTCTCGAGTTAACATTTCTGACACTCAAACCTGAACGGCTCTTAGAGGTCAATCACTGTTTCTTGGAGGTGATGGGAAATCCCGTAACGTGGAGATCATCGTGGGACATGGGGGAGTTTAGAGTCTTATTTGTGCTCACATGACACAACCAAGATAAGATGGAGTGTATGTGGGTGAGATGGCGTCAGGCAGAAAGCTAAGATGCGGGTAACCCGTGAGTAAATTCTATTGTTTCTTGTTGGCACGGATTTATGTTGTATCAGAAAGTGGTAAGACCACATGAATTTCATATCATCCTTAAGAAATATATATATGTACATACATTGTATACACGTTAATATCTATATATTTGCGTATATGTATATGTGTGTTTATGTAGCATATTTTTAAGAAGCGCAAAATGCTGAGTCTAGGGGAGTGCCTGTGAACTGAATTGTGGTAAGTCACTGAGGTATTCTTCAGCAGTGAATACAGTTTTTCACATGATTTTATTATGTCTTTTTTTTTTTTGAGACAGAGTCTCGCTCTGTCTCCCAGGCTGCAGTGCAGTGGCCCAATCTCAGCTCACTGCAAGCTCCGCCTCCCGGGTTCCCGCCATTCTCCTGCCTCAGCCTCCCGAGTAGAAAGTTAATTCTTAAATACCAGGATGGCTCTTCGCCGTGATCATGGTTTCCATGTTTGCTTTTGTTCCATCTGGCTTTCGGTTACTCCCGTTTCCCCTCCTCCGTCTCTGTGAACAGTAACACTTGGTGCTGGATAGCACCATCCGCGATACTCCAAAGGAGTGGGCAGACATGCGCTCCTGCGCCCTCCTAATGTCCCTGGGAAGAAGCGCACTGGCCTGAAACCGCCAGCACAGAGCCACATCAGCGGCAGGAAAGACACTGAGTGGGTCAGTGTGTGCAACGATAGGATGGCTTCACACAAAGACTTGGTTGCATGCCAAATCAGGGTCTAACGGAGCAAGCCCCCAGGGCAGACCATACCCACTGCACTCTCTCTGAGCAGCTAAAGTTCTGTCTCTGCATGTCCATCTTAGAAGGTGGCATGGATACTAGAGTGCAGCTTCCTCTGCCTGCCCCTAACAAGACAGTGTGAGTCAGGGGTCAGGTCCCCCAGGAAGAGGAAACTGCAATGAACGGGCACTTTCGCTATCATTTGTGTGGCGTGTGCCACTCTGCAGCCACCCCTGTGTCACTGCTCCTGTGTAACGGGATTGATGTTCTATTTTCCCAGTGATCCTGTCTACTGAGAGGGCTGGGAAGCCACATGCCTCCTACAACAACTAGAAGCCAACAAGTGAGCCTCGTCTCTCAACAAGGTAAGACAAATGATGTAAAAATAGGTTAAATTACTTCAAAACTTTAATTACAGATACTTTTCCACACAACATTTCTGAAATGGAAGCTTTGATTCTCCCCTTTTTTTGCATAAAGGCTAGGAAGGTGGTTTAGCCAGACCGTACATCTTTTTGTATATACATATCTACACCTGTGTCTCTTCTTTATTAATAAAAGGTGTCTTGATCACAGTCCCAAACCAACTCTGCATTGGATTCCAGCATTTAAAACTCAGAGAGTGAAACAATTTCAAAGGAAGACAGGCTGCAACCACAGGAAAATGGCAGGAAAAACTGTAGCTTGATAGTTGTTTCTTCTAAGTTTAACTCAGAAATATAATAATAATTAAGAGAAAAAAATAAGAGGGCCTTAGCTTTCATCCCTGCTACCAAACTCGCTCGTCCAAAACTCTCGGCTGTCTTAAAGTGCAATTAGTGTTGTGAAGTTGCTCAGGCCAGGGATCAGGCTGGACGGAGTTCAAAGCAGAAACTTCAAACACTCCTTGCTGTTCATGACTCAGGGGCGGGGAGGGAGGGAGAGGAGAAAAAGAAGGACAGTTCTCTGGCATTCAAGTGCATCAAAAGAATAAATGTCTTTTCTTTCGGTCAAGAAAATCTGTCAATAGTAAGGAATCCTGGTTTGGAAAAATACAACTTTCTAAAACTTCTATCTGCGGATGTTCCAATGCAGCAGACTGACAAGGCAGGCGAGTGCAGCCAGCAGCAGGGGCCAGGTGTGCCTCCCAGGGGCCCGGCCATACAGGCGGCTTCCACCGTCTTCTGCGAGGTCCTCTGCCCTCGGCGAAGAGGAGGCACACTGGACCAAGGGCATCTGGTAGGACGTGGCTCTCTTCTCTGGCCTGTCTGGACTGGACCCATCACTGGGCCTCTGGCCATTGAACAGCAGATAGCGCCCCCGGGCATCCTGTTCCATTTTGAAGATCTCGTACTCCGTGTGAGGTAGTTTGATGCCCAGAGCCACGCAGCCATTGGTGTGGGTCACATCCTGCTGGATGCCCACCTGCCAGGAGCCCTCCGCCCCACACTCATTCCCGTTGAAGACGTTGAGCAGTGAGGCTGTGGCTGCATCCATGGGGGTGACCTTCATGTGATTCACTGCAAAGGAGAGAGGAGAGTTCCATGACTTCAGGGAGTAGGCCTGGGATCCAGAAAACACTGGCCACACTCTAACGAGACAAGGCTTGTTTTCCAAAAACAGTCCCACCTACGGACCCACCCGTCTGACTGCAGTAGCCGTCAAAGCACTGTCAGGCGGGGAAGATTCAACCTGTTGATCTGGGGGGCAGTAACACTGATAGGCTGCAGGTGTGGCCACGCGACACAGACCATCTGGTGTGGAAACACTGAGCCCGGAATACAGCTGGGAGCGCCTGCAGGCAAGAAATACAACTGCAGCTCGGAGTGCTCCTAAGGAGTTTTATTTGGTGATGCTGACTCCTTGGGATTGAAAAAAATACTCAACAAAGGCTGGAATTTTGCTTTTATCAAAAGGTTTTGGCTGGGCGCGGTGGCTCAAGCCTGTAATCCCAGCACTTTGGGAGGCCGAGATGGGTGGATCACGAGGTCAGGAGATCGAGACCATCCTGGCTAACACGGTGAAACCCCGTCTCTACTAAAAAATACAAAAAACTAGCCGGGTGAGGTGGCGGGCGCCTGTAGTCCCAGCTACTCGGGAGGCTGAGGCAGGAGAATGGCGTGAGCCCGGGAGGCGGAGCTTGCAGTGAGCTGAGATCCGGCCACTGTACTCCAGCCTGGGCGGCAGAGCAAGACTCCGTCTCAAAAAAAAAAAAAAAAAAAGGTTTTCGGGTTTCTAACAGTTTTGGTGTCAAACACCTATTCTAGTTGGCATTCTCACACATTCCTACGGGCCCATACATCAGGCATCTAAAATAAGTTAGGCTGCAAGCAAGACAAATGTGAGTCAATAAATTAAATACAAATCCCGGCTTTTGTGGAGAATTGCTTCTGAAGGTCCCTCCAGGGGGGCCACTTCCGTGTACAACGCGATGAGCTTCGGGGTGGAGTCACGTAAAGATCGCTTGCTCTCAATTAAGTTTCTCAAAGGGCCTGTATTCCTGGAGCAAACCTGGCCACCCAAAAGGAGGGCTAAAGTCTTCCAGGACTTTCTGGGTTAACAGAAACATTTTATAGCAATGGGACTGAACCCTGGAATGCCATCCTGGAGGAGTCATCTGGGATTGAGGCTGTCCTTCTTTATTTGGCATGATAGGGCCGACACCATTTTACAAAGATGCTCAAACTTAAAAAAAAAAAAAAAAGCAACCTTCTAAAAATAGCAACCACAAGTCCCGCTTTGTTGCTGGCAGCCTGGTGTAGCTCCTCCCTCCCCTCCTCATTTAGTGATAAGGACACAGCCTGAACCTTCCCACAGATGCTCCCACCTCCAAGCAGGTGACAACCTCTCAATTACACGACAAGCTCAGGGTTGGAAAGGGCAGCTCTGAGCACCTGAGGTGTCACTAATACCTCTTTCCTGCCCGCTCGAGAAAGCACCGTGGCACGCAAGCAACTGCAGTATTATTAAGGGGCAGCATGGAATCCGCCAGAGTTGTGTACAAAAAACACAAAGTGCAGACTTGAGATTTCTTTTTTTGTTTTTTACAGACGGGGTCTTGCTCTGTTGCCCAGGCTGGAGTACAGTGGCACGATCATATCTCCCTGCAGCCTCAACTTCCTGGGCTCAAGCGATCCTCCTAGCTCAGCCTCCAGAATAGCTGGGACTACAGGCACATGCCACCACATCCTGCTAATTTATTTTATTTTTTATAGAGTTAGGGCCTCACTCTGTTGCCCAGGCTGGTTTCAAACTGCTGGCCTCATGAGATCCTCCTGCCTTGGTTTCCTAAAGTGTTGGGATTACAGGCATGAGCCTCCGCACCTGGCCAGAGATTGCATTCCCAGCAACATCCTCCCTGGACTGGCAACTTCCCACATGCAGCAGAGTGGACGCCCCCTGCACTCAGGCCTGCAAGCGGAGGCTGTCCACCTGATCCATTCTGAGCAGGGAGAAACTCAGAGGGCGCTGGGAGGGACTGAAGCAGAAATGGCTCCCCGATTTCTTTCCTAGGAACTCAGGCAGAAAAGAGGTCCCTTCCCTCAGCTCTGCCTCCACAACAATGTCACAGGGCTGTGTATCGGCTGCGATACCGGGACTCGAGATGGGAATCCTACCTTTGAACACGAACTCCGTGCCTCCCATGACCCTAGAGGAGAGCACGCCGCGGCTGTAGCGGCCCCGGGCGTAGATGGAGAAGGTGGGGTGCTTGCACACCGGGTCTGAGTAGTGGTAGTAGTGGCCCTCCCAGGTGTTGTTGTTGTCATGGAAGATGAAGTGGCGGGTGAGGAAGAGGACTTCGGGGCGCACCTCGCAGCGCTGGCTTACCCACTCCCCGTGCAGGCCGATGGTCAGGTCTGCCTTCGGGGGCAGGATGGGAGGGTGGTGCTCGTCTGACCGATAGATGATCCGACAGGCGATGCAGGCGTGGTCATGGTTCTGAAGCCAAGAAACAAACACACTCAGAGACCTCTGTCTTCCCAAGGGAGCAGCGCACATGTGCTTCTGGCAAATGGGGTCTCACCAGGTACCAGGTCACCATCACTGACAACCTCGACACCAAGAACCAACTGGAATCATGCTCCGGGCACAGACAGAGGTGAGAGTGATGTGTGCCTGTGTACTCAAAGTGCACACATGTTTGCCTGACAGTACAGACCTACGCAGACATTTCAGATGTGATGTGGCCTCTTTAGAATCCTATTAAGTTTTCAGACCACATGCACTGGACACTTGATTTCAAAAAGAAATGATGGCAGCACCTCACACCCATTAGGATGGCTACTATCAAAAAATCACAAGTTTGGCAAGGATGTGAAGAAACTGGAACCCTTACACACAGCTGATGAGAATGCGGAACGGTCCAGCCACTATGGAAATCAGTCAAGTGGTTCCTCAAACAAACAAACAACAAAAACGAAACAGAATTATATGACCCAGCAATCTCACTTCTGGGTATGCACCCAAAAGAGTTGAAAGCAGGGACTTGAATAGCTATTTGCACACCCATGTTCACATCAGGGTTATTTACAATAACCAAAAGGTAGAAGCACCCCACGTGTTCACTGACAGATGAATGGATCAACAAAATGCAGTCTATCCACACAGTGAAATACCCTTCAGCCCTAGAAAGGCAGGAAGTTCTGACACCCGCTACAATAGGGATGAACTTTGGGGACATCGTGGTCAGCGAAATAAGCCAGACACAAAAGGAGACTGTATGATGTCACTTACATGAGGTTCCTAGAGTGATCAAATTCATAGAGACAGAAAGTGGAATGGTGGTAGCAGGGGCTGGAAGTGGGGGGACAAGTCGTGGTTTAATGAACTAGATGTTCAGTCTGGGAAGATGAGAAAGTGCTGGAGGTGGGAGGTGGTGATGGTTGCATAATAACGTGAATGCCCTCAGTGCCACAGAACTGCACACTTAAAACTGGCTAAATGATACGTTTTACATTATGTGTATTTTACCACAATTAAAATTTATTTTAATAAAAAAAGTTAGGAGACACAAAGAAAAAAAAAAGGGCTAGCACTCCACTGGCTGTGGATGAAATGGAGTTGTGTAGGAAAGGCAAGGTCCTTTAGAAGAGGGAATGGAGGAGGCGGCCTGCAAGAAGGGAGAGCTGGAGGCCACGGAGCAGCAAGCACACCCACACATTGCTCTCTCTCCGGGTCTGCCCGCCTCCGGGTTCAGAAGGTTTGTGTTCCTCCTCCTGCCTTCTCAGCTTTAAGCAAGACAGCCACAGCTCGGACCTTCCAGAAGACCCTGTAATGCCTAGTCTATTTTATCACAGGAACACAGCAGGGAACAAGGGCTGTCTGTGGCACAGACAGTCCTCTCTGGTGAGGGGTGCACACGTCAGAGATGCTGGAAGTCAGGGCA